ATGTTGCTCTTATCTAAGCGCTTCTGCTGCACTGGCTAAGCCCTGTCACATCATAGCATGCATCATGTAGTTGCTGCTACATCTGCTTTGCTCAATGTGCAGACATGCACCAAATCTAACCCTACGCTCCTAAGGACCAACATTAGCTCACCACTCACAGATTAATTTTCCACATGCTGCCCTACGCTTCAGTAGGGTTCATGGCGCTCAATGGAACTGCAGCGTACAGGTGCCAATCGGCCTCCTGTTACTCATTGTATCCGAAACTAAAAGGCCAAATAGTTGTTGGAGGGTGAGCACCAAGGCAAGATGAATTTGCGAGATGCATCTGCATGTGTCTAAACCTTTGGGGGGGGATTTCCTCATACCTGTCAATATGCACACCACGACAACGCCTGGATGCAGCGTACCCAATCTTGTCCTCTAAAGAATAAAAATCACACCTACTCAGTGACGCCTGCATCTACCCGAAAATAAACATATAAAATGCGCAGTGCAACTGCGCGCGCAACGGCATATCTGCTGCTGCCATTCAGAGAGTAGTTGTGTTGTGCAGTAATTCAATACAGCTCGCGACGATCTCTGGTTCTTGTAATCTAGGTCAGCCCCAGCAGGTATAATTTTCAAATTTGCGGAGGCACGTGTGCCAAGTTGTTTCACTTGTTTCACTTGAACACTAACGACAATCAATCATGACACATTATTTTGGCACACAATATTTGGGCACGGAACTGCACTGTATTTGTCAGAATGAAGGAGTTCGGTAAACAGTGCATTTTCGCAGTGCATTTGCCAAGCTGTAGACTACTAATGGAAAAGTCACCTTCATGGATTAGAGTAGCATCCGTGCAACCCAGAGTGACTTACTTGACCTTCGCTCTTTCCTCACATCATATGAAGCTCACGTTGAAGAGGAGCAAGTGGAAGATCCCAGCCTTTTTTTAGAATAGGCGTTTTTTGTGGTGATAGCAAGAAACACACGATATTCTTCCCTCTATAAATGCATGAAAACATCGAGCCTGTTGCCCATCGAAAGTCAAGAATTTCAACATACCTGAAGTGTGTAATTTCAGAGATGTGAGGGGCTAGTTCGGTGGGTGTACGCCTTAAAGGATGAAGCGATAAACTCAAGTAGAGTATTCTCATTCAATGCCAGCAAGCGATAACCCCTTTCTACCCTTTAGGAATAATGCAAAAAAAGTTCCTAAATCAGCAGATAAGTGAAGGCAGATGGCATTGCACTGCCTGAATTTGTATAAAAGCTTACTAAGGGGGCACAAGAACGAAGGTACTGCTTCGTAAGAAGACTGCTATGCTAGAAGCCAGCCTAATAGTGGTTGTGATGAGCTTCGTTAAAAAATGGATTTTTAAGCATTTGTACTACCGTATATGAATTTGTCAGAGCTGGTATTCGAATGTGAGCGTTCACCCTGCAACACTTCGCCAGGATTTTTCTTCGCTTCCCTGATAGGCATTTGCTATGTGAAAACATTCAATGCTACTATTTTGTCTAGCTTTCTGCGATGACACATGAACGGGAGACTCTCAAGGCAACTAATTCATCTGTCTGCCAGAAAGACAACCCCATGAACAACTACGCCTGTGTTAATTCAGATGTGCAGGAAGATAATAGTGTTCCAAGATCCAGCATACATTCCAGGCAGGTGGCTCGAGAAAAATTTGAGACATGGACACGCGGCAATGGAAAACGGGCGCCCCGTTGACAAGTCTCTCAGCAGGTCGAACGTGTCCACATTGCAACAAATGTAATTTAGCGTAGTCCATTTTCCTTAGTATTCCAGTGAAACTCTCGCTAGGTAGAATTTCCGCAACTGTTGCAACAGAAGGCGCGTCTCCATGTGAGCCACGGCCGCGCCGGTAGGATCGATTGCGGGCTACACCACTGGAAATCACCCAACTGTCAGCAGCTTTTTTCCTTAAACATTTTATCTAGATAGCCCACCGGCAACTGTAATTGTGATTCACAGGCCTGGGCTAGTGCCAACTTTCTGGTTTGCCCGGGAACCGTTGTATACCGTGGTCACCGCGGGAATCAGTAATATTATTAGCACTAAGCGCACAAAGTGGGACTTCTGGATTACAATTTACACGGGTACGAAGACACAAATATTTGTGAAAATCTTGGCTGGTTTTGTTTCTGCCCCGGTATAACGCAGAACAAGGGCTGTTGGCTGTCTGTTCAACGAACAATTGGTTTCGTAGCATTGAGTGCTCACTCCTGCCCTCATCCGAAGACTCTCTGCATATGGGTTTTGATGATCTCACTGCCAAGCCAGAAATAGGTCAGTGTCTTCGTCGGCCTACAACGTGTCGATTTGCAATGCTGGGGCAGAAGCAGTTATTCCCTTCAACTGAGTGGGCGGGCTTGCCCCTTAGAAACAATGAAGAGGATACCCACTCGTGGCAAGTTGTTGACGGCTTTGCATCACCAATGACAAAAGACAGGATTGGTAGCAGTGGACTGGGAGAACGACTCGGGAGAAACCTCCGGCAGAACCGTAAACAGGCTCTGACCATTGTTGCCGTTGGGGCACTTGCGGTAACTTTTGCGGTCCTCCGGTGTGCTGTTCAAGGGGGTCCGAATAGGACGACGGGTGATGAACTACGGTCTCTTAGTGGGGTTAAAGGGGTTGGCCCTAAGGCTGCTTGCTGGGAGGCAACAGGAAATGAGTTTGAGGAACGAGGTTCGGGTGACCAAACACTCTTAGAACAGGACTTGGTCCGTCGAACATCGATTTTTTTGAACTCTTTAGTGACGATTTTAAGGAACAACGAACCTGTGTTGGCTCGAATTCCTGTGCATACACGAAGTAAAATTCTTTCCCTTCTTCTCACCCTTGTTGTGCAGGAGTTAGCGGCATTAGCATCGGTTTTAGGTGAGTCTTCAAGGGCTGCTTTAGTGTACACAGTTCGCGAGGTTGGTGTAATAACACGCCGCCTGGGAACGACAATTACTAGAAAGACAGGAGGCTTCTGTTCGCGCCGTCTTCAGCTTTACCTCAGCAGCGTTCTTCGGCGTCTCGAGCTGTCCGGGCCACAAGGTACCCATATGCCCCCACTCGAGCGACTTCAGAAGTTACAGGACCTCTTACAGTTGCAGGAAGAGATGCTACTGAATCTCAGCTTCGTATTCGACCACCTGACCAGAGGATTTTCCTCTGGGAATGACGCCGATAATGAGACCTTGATGGCAGCGAAAAAAAAACTTGGGGATTTGCTACACACAAGGAAGCAACACATATTCACGAACCCTACACTCTCTCGTTGGCTGCTTGAAGACGAAAATCAAAGCAAACGCTTCGCTGTTGCAACCCCGACGTATCTCACGTTCCTTCAGAAGAGAACACCTCCAACTGTTGAGGAGATGCTCAAGGAGTTGAAGACCCTTTCATCCACAAGGCGCGACAACATCATAACCCAGCACGCTGCACCTGCCGATGAGGCAGAGACTAACACAACCGAGCCTAGTGACTCGACTTTTGCTGAAGGAGAATTGTCAGAAACTGGAGGGCCTTCAGTTCTTCTTGGGCTTCAAATGGTTCATGGACGCACTTTTCAAGATCCACTCATCAGTGGCCAAGCCCCCTTTTCAAGGCCAACGCCAGCTGTGTGGGGAGGTTGGGGGCGTGGCTCTGAGCGACAAGGCGCAGGCCTTCCACCATTAGGAAACAACGGAGCCCTTCATCTATCTATCGTGCACCATGATCAAGTAGCTTCAAGCTCTGCAGCGTTTCCCCTGTCCTCTGCCTCTGGGGGATTCTCTCTTCACGCCGTGAGTAATTCCTGCTCGATCATCTTCCTTGGCTTCCCCATAGTTCTTTGTTCGTACTATTACGCCACGCCAAAAGTGTTCTCGTCTTGTGTCCTGTTGCGGCTGCAGCTGTCTGCGCTCGATTCACGCATGGTCGATAGAAGCCACAATCCCCAAGATCGTTTGGTGGGACCTTTCTTCGGCTCAGCATTAGAAGGGGAAGTTCCCGTGTCAAGGGCACCAAATCACCAGAACGGTGCAGAGGAAGGTACTTCTAACCCCTTCACTTTGCCAGACGTTTTCGATTTTTTGAGAAGACAGCTTGGTATGAAAACGCAGTATATTGGGCATTGAACAGTCATATTTGTGTTAGAGTACATACTACACGTATGAAACGCTCATTGGTGGTATATTGAGGCGGGTGACCTGGGCTTTTGAGTAGGCAATGCAGAGGGCCTTGAGGTTTCTATAGCGGAGTCAGAAGTTTTCAGGACACTCCAGATGGTACATATCGCACTTCACCGGGCGTAGATAGTATATTTGGCACTGCATTAGAGGGAAGGCACGGGAGGTAAGTGCTGTATTCAAACTTAGGACAGTCTCGTCTTCGTTTTTAAATTAGGATGGAAGCGCATTTCTCCTGCGGGCTTCCCCTCTGACCACACCTATTCGTTGCTGAAACCTCGTATCTGAAATGAAATCTACTCATTTGGCTTGGTGACTTCATGAGGAAATATGTAATCGCGTCAGAGGCTGGCACTTGTCACTACGACTATTGGGGGAGTGCCAATTGCCGTGAACCACAGGGATTGTGGAGCCCACAAAATTGTCTACGCATTGTTTTGTCTTATTGACATTTGCGTCGGAGTGCTTGTTATCGAAAGCTTTTTATTCAGGATTCTCCTCCTTCATTTCATTCTCTGTTCACAGATGTTGTACATACAACTCTGGGGTTAAATGCAGAATGCTCTTTCTTCGACATTCCGTCATTTCTGTGCTGCACGTCTAAACACCTGTCAACTAATGCAGCCCTTAGTGTCCTGGCTATCGCCATGTCAGTCTGCCAAATCGCAGTAAGGGCTGAAAATATGAGGAGGACGGTTTGAAAATGCCAACTCTTGTCAGCCGTACTCAATCGCTGCCAAGCATTTCCCGGACATCAACTGAATCCGCCTAAATGCCATTTTTAGTCCTTTTGCTGTTAACACAGAGGAGCGTAATCAACGTTATTTGCGTTTTCAAAGTTCTTCTTTGAACATCTACTGAAGTACTGTTCCATGTCTCATAATAAGGCACCTGCCACACGAAGTTGCGTGGTTGGCCGCCTCCCCCATTGGCACCGTGCTGGCGAGGATAAGGGAAGGTTCGCTGCAAAAGGGCATTTTCGTATTGCACTACAGAAACGCAGCCTGAATTGGCGGTAGGAGTATTCAAGTACGCAAGGGCGGGGTGCTTTCCAACAGAAATACTAGCATTTGCCCACATGTACCTATTCTAAGGTCTTCCGACATTACAGGCTGAACTGCAGGTAGTGCACAGAATCAAGCTACCACATTTGCCTCCAGGGAGCTCAGGCAACGTATGGAGCGGTAGTGGTTAATCGAAGGGACCTCAGAAGGTGAATCCATACTTGTGTAGATTATTTATGTTCAGCAGGACAGCCAACCCACCACACCTGCGTCGGTTTCCAAAGCCGGTGGTCCACACCACCGGACTGTCCGTCGCGTTGGATCTGGATGGAGTCGCCCCTCTCGTTCTAATGCAGGTCCATTCTTTGCTATTTTGATTGTTCCGCGTTTAACTATGCGTGGCGACAACCACCAATGTTCTGTTCAGGCACTGATAACGCCGTGCCTTAGCACTGTTTTCGGCCCGAACATCATCTATTAAGAGACTATCCGAATGACTGGATTGAGGAGGCACCCCATTCACTAGCGGCCTGATTTAGCCGCTACATTCGTCAATCCCCAGTTGAAGGTTCTCGCAGATGCTGTAGTGAGCAGCACAACGGTGCACAAGCGGGGAACAAAGGCCGTACGATATAAAATTACTTCAGTTGTGGTCTAAATAGAAATTACATCATATGGAGAAACTTCTGTAGCGGCCACAGGGCCGGGCAGGCGGTGGCACGGGCGATACCCTGCCAACCCCACTCCAAAAGGAGAAAACCCCGGCACTGTTCTGTTATTGGGTGAGGAACCCCCGATTAGACTGGATTGCCTCACGTGCATTGGGAATCTGTTACTTGAGCATCGCTTCCCAAGAGCTACGCGCTGCAGCCGCCATCAAACACGATGCATTTTGCCGGTAAACAGGCGGGCAGCTTGCATGACACCCAAGCAGGCCGCCATCAATACAGATTTCGTTGGTTGAAGTCAGCACCACATATCACAGTTATGAAGGGAAATATTAACTTACGTCTCTCACTGCACGAGTCGACAAGCTGCGTGGTTTTCTGCGTTTGCAGGAGTTGGGGGGTTGAGAGACTCGCACTGCGTCCGACAAGCTTAAGAGCTGTGCATGCTTCCTGAAATGGCGGTATGCTTACAGGAAAGGATCAATACCAGCGATGCCTTTGTGCACACAGTATCGCCATACATGGGAAAGAGTCAACTACAGAGAAAAGGACCCGCAAACCAAGACGGTGTACTCTGCCACAGACAGGTGAATGCCCTCCTTCAGAAGGAGGGACGGTGCATTTCCTGGACACACGAGAACCTACAGTATCCTCAGACAACCACGACAGAAAAACAAGTAGGTTTACGAGGAGTTGCGTGTGTTGCTCACATCCGTGGTATGCGGATTCAAGCACTTCCAGGTTTTCGTTGAAGTCTCTGGGAGTTCTCACAGGTCAGACGATGTTCCCGAAATTCAGATTTCGTGAACGTCACCCGTCCATTCGAGAAGTGCCTCGCGAGCTCAGTAGATCACTGGGCCTCGGGCATCTCGACTTGTCCTACCTGGCCTGAAAGTGCCACGTGGCTATACAATGCAGAATCCACATGGGTGAACTCCTTGGGACTTGTTGAAATGCACGGAATCGGAATCAAAATGGACATCTTCCCTCTCGCCACGTAGGAAACCACTGATGGTGACGATAAAGCAGCACCAAGCTCCCTACGTTTCACGCCTAGTTGGACGAGCGATTCGGAGTTGTTTGCGTGATTAACCACAAAGCATACGTTTTGCTCATTGCAGCCAGTTGCGAGCTGTCCGCTTCCGCGGCGGAAGGGGAAACGTAAGAGCTGCCTCTTCCAATACTGAAGACATACCTGCTTTGGTCAAACAAATATAATATGGCCCTCGATTGTCGTAGATATCTTTGTTACGCGAGGAAGTTTGGGGATTGTTCGTGTTTTAAAGGCGAGACCACCGCAAGCTCGTGTGATCCATGACACCAGTGATCACCGGCGAGCGGGGTGGAAGAGCTTGGGCCGTCTTCGACTCTATAGTGGATCCAACCAATTCCTTTCCCCATTTTCAATACAAAAAATTAACGGACCGTCCAATAAATATCCTTTATGCCCTTGACTTGTTGAGGATTTCCCAGTTGACCTCTCCGCGCCTCAACGCAATGACCTCCTCCTCCGGGTTGGCCAGATGACAGGCCGATGCTGAAGCATATGCCTGGCTTTCATGGTTATTTTTCAGGCAGCTCTTCAACTTGAATCTTATTTCTGGGAAGAGCGGGGCATTTGAAGATACGCTTCCCAATGTAGACCAATACATCTGACGGGTGTGCACCATCATGAGTCAAACACCACTCATCCAGCTGGCTTATTGAACATTCTTTCTCCTTTTGCTTCTTCGCAGAGCTTGTGGGCTCTTAACTACAATGCAGGAAGCTTCTGAAGGAGACGCTTCTACACAACATGACTCATATTCGTTTTCAAGCAACAAAGGACAGAGGAGACTGCCTCCTCAGCGTCTTAGTGACCTCGCCAAGGGTTTACACAAAATACCAGTGGCCCGGATGACCCATGAGGCAATTACATACAAAGTCGGGAGGCCGGGTGGCCATGCCTCCCTGCGCACCCGCGTTGTGTTTATGATGCCTGTTGTCGTGCTCGCGTTAGTTTATATTCTGTGGGGTTGTGCCATGCAGCTGAGGGCAGGGCAGTGGAGGGAGGAAGCATCAGTTAGGCTGCTTGCAGCTGGAGGAGGAGAAGGAGATATTTTTCAGTTGTGCAGGTCAGGGCAAGGGGAGCCTCTTGGGAGCCAGGGCACCATCGCAAGGAAGTATTATACACCTGAAGAGCAAGAGTTGCTGAACCATGCTGCTATTGTCATATCTTCATTCGCGAAAACAACAAACGCCATGGAAGGAATTATACTGAACCTACAAAGGGAGAACAAACACAAGATAGCATCTCTCCTCTTCAGCTTTGCACTCGTTGAACTGTCGGCCATATCGATGCTGGTCGGTGGGGACCTGCACTCCGAGTTAGTGTCTACATTCGTCTCTGTTAAGAAGGCGTTGGAACGTGTTTCCCCTCAAAATCCAGAAGGAATCATGCCAAATGCAGATTCAAAGTACAGGCGCCTCCACTCAATCCTGAAGAAATTCTCTTCTTCAGTACCGACGAAATCGTACAGTGGACCAGACAGGATCCAGCAGCTCCGTGAGTTGCTTCATCTGCAGGAGGTGGGTCTGACGCAGGTGCGTACTGCCTTTAACTACATATGGGAAGCGATTTGGCCACCGGAAAAGGGAACGATGGAGATCCCTGAACACGCTTTTTCCCTGCTCAGCCATACCGTCTATGTGCGCAAGAACCACATTGTGCGAAATCCAACTCTGAATCAGTGGCTACTGGATAACGAAATTGATCAGAAGCATTCTCCCGTCCTCCCTAGATCATACCTGAAGGCTGTCTTGAAGTTGCCGCAGCTCACATTCGACAATTGCCTTAGTGAACTCACAGACCCCAGATTGCCGTGTGGCGGGCCGAAGGGCATGAGGGCAGAAGGGCCGCAAGCGAGGCAGGCCTTACAGGAGGAGCATGACGGTGCACAAGAAGGCCCTAGTGTAAGCGGTGAACATGCCAGACGGAAAGGTGGTCCCAGTGAAGTAAAAGTATTTGAGGGAGGAGCAACTTCTGCTTGGAGTGTCGCCAGGTACTCTGCAGTGCCTCCTCAGCCCCTCTTAGGGACGTTAACTGGCGCCCACTTTAGCAATGAGTGGAAGCAGTACCCCACTGGTTCTCAACAGCCTTCACAAAGGGACGTCGAAAATTTTCAAACGGAAACAGGCAAACATTGGTTGGAGCTCGAGACCGCCGGTACGGCTTATGCGGGTTCATCTGGGAATCAAGGAAGACAGGGCGGACCTGGTTTCTATGGTCCTGTGGGTGGCGTTCATTTGTTGCCAACGAGTAGCAGCAGCATCCCTTCTCCCTCATATGTGCTAGGCATATCGCCACAGAAGGGAGAACGGCCTCGGCTGACGACGCTTGAAACACCACTTCAGCTGGAGACGCAGACGGAGGAGAAGTTGTCAAAGGCACCAGGCGCTGCTAGGCTAGGTGTACGCGAAGCTTTCCGCGGCATTGCTTTGGGCGAGAGCCTATCCTCGCAGACAACGGAGAGCAGTGCCCCAGGAGACGGGAGTAGGAACTTCGTTTTGGGTTTTGGGATCGGAATGCCATCGATGGGGAATTTGCTGGACCGAACTAAAGAGGGACGACCAAAGTAGGGGCCGCGACATTTGCAGGGGAGACAAAATCCCCTAAATAAGTACGGTTTGCTCCAGAGGTACTTCTGCTGGAAATCCATAGTTCATCTGCTTCTAGAAACGGCTCTTCTTGGTTTCGTATTCAGCGAGGAGTTGCCTACCATATCCGTGTGCTTGGTGCAGCAGACGATGCCAGCTGTAGACAGCAACAAAAGAGTAGGCACGAAAATGCCTGCGGTTCCTACATTACACTACATATGTAATGTAGTAGACAGTCTGAGATTGCCAGAGGCTTCTAGTAGCTTTCCATTGGCGTGCACGACGGAAAATGACGTTGAGAGGGCGAGCATCGAGCTGCATTCAATACCGCTCCGCTACAGAAGTTCGGAGAGGGTGTTTAGGCATATATTCCAGTTCATTTCTGGAGGGAGGGGATACTAGAAAAACTTTTCTCCGCTGTTCAGTCACACTAGAGACTCCGTACGGCTTTGTGGATGCCGATGGACTCCGCCGCCCAGGTGGGAAAGAGCGGGAAGTTGCACTGGCGCATCGACTGTGTGCGGCCTAACATTTCCCGAGAACGTGATTGTTGTTTTTATTTTGATTTTCAATAAGCAAGTGTACGTACAGCTGTAACATGCAGGGCGAAGCTGCGAATGCGTCAGTAGAGGACTCTCTGCTCATGCCTGCACACCCGACTCTGGGTGCATGCACATACTATTAATATGTTTATCTATGCTGCATGCCAAACACACATACTTACATATATGTTCCAACAATAATGCTATGCACAAATGCATAACGTAACTTTTGCGTATATACCGTGGTAGACTCAAGCTCGTGGCCGCAGGCGCATTTGTAGTCTGCCATGATATTTATGCAGAAATGAAAACGGGAACATCGCAGTGAACAAATAAACACAAAAAGCGAAACACTGGCAGCAAACAAGGAGCGGACAACGGAGAAACGAACTACTATATATGCAAACTGATAAGCATACGCCTGTGGTGCACATCGAAAGACGCATTTCAACATTTAAACTGAAGGGTTTGATTTTTTAGGTTGTGCTGCTCCCCTTGATGCGAACATTAATACACTATATTCTAAGAAAATAAGTGCCTCAAAGGGGAAAAGGACGAAACGAATCCCCCCTGTAATTAACCACATCTCAGTGTCCTGCAGTTGTAAGCATGCAATTTTTTAGCATTTGCATTACTTGCGATTAATATGCAAATAGGAAGGACAGGACTGCTAAATAGTTCCTATGAAAGCCTGGCTCAGCAGATCTGCAACGTGGGGGCCCCCGACTAGCTTCGGGGGCCCAGGGGCCCCCCTTGAGGTTCCTTGTTGGGGCCCCCCTTGCACGTGTATTGTTGGCAGTTTTTGCCCCTTATTCGGTCCATATTTTGCATTTTAAAAGTAGTAATAAAGGCCGTTTATCTCTTTTTTCCCTGCTGAATCCGCACTGGATTCCCTGCAGTGCCTTCGAACCCGAAGGGGCCTCAATCGCCTGGCCGCCGCCTGCAAACGAGTGGCCACTAAACCCTAGACCCTATAAAGACCCCTCCTGTGTTTTGTTGTTGTATCTACATGAGGAGTTAAGCGTTCTTCTCTTTTGCACGAGTATAAGCGGACGAGGCCCTGCTTGGGGATGGCGGTTTCTAATGTTGCAAACCCTTTCTTAGGATTTCCCCCTTTCCTTTTCATTGCCTCTGTTTCTAGAGGTATATAGGCTAAGGAAGACTCCATGGACAGCTCTGGTTGGGGTACATCCGTTTCGGGGGCCCCCGTAGGGGGCCTCTCTATTGGGGGGCCCCCCGGTACGGAAAGGGGGGAGAGGCGGGGAGGGCCCGATGGTATTTCAATTGAAAAACGTTTTATTTTTAGCACTTCTTTGTTGCATCTACAATTTGAAGGTCCAATTATTCCTGCGAGTGATCCTCCATGTAATCATTGTAAAAGTAAAAGGATAAAATGTATTTGTCAATCGGTGCAGCTTGTTGGCAAGTAAGGCAAATTAACCCCTGATACTGGTGCTGTTGTTGTTGTTGTTATTGTTGTCGTTGTTGTTGCTGCTGCAGTAGCAAAAAAGAAGGTTATGATAAGAGTATCATTACTAACAACAGCAGAACAGTAACAGCAGCAGCAGCAGCAGCCAAAACATCAGCAGGAATCGATTTTGTGTTTAGATTACATCTTTTCTTCTGTGCAAATCCATAGGATATGTGTTGCATCTTCATTCATACGTCTACAACTACAACATCATGAACTATATACCTGCTGCTACTGTTGCTGCTGCTGTTGTTGTTGTTGTTGTTGTTGTTGTTGTTGTTGTTGTTGTTGTTGTTGTTGTTGTTGTTGTTGCTGCTGCTACTGTTTGCAGGACCCCTGGTTACGACAGTCCTGAATTATCTGTTATAGTAGAGAGACTAGAAAAGAGTCGCAATAGATTATCTTTTATACCAATAGAAGAATGGAAAAGTCATACAGCAAAAACGGATCTATTAAAAAGTGTTCTTCCTACTATAAGAAAAAAGGTATATTTGCTGCATGCATGCATGCATGCATATACACCTCAAGCCTGTATCGATACCACCCTGTATCTCTCATGCTGCTGCTGCTGCTGTTGTTGTTGCCGTTGCTGTTGTTGCTGTTGTTGGTGGTGGTTGTGCTGTTGTTGCTGTTGTTTTTGCTGCTGCTGTGTGGTGATTTTCACAGTGGATTCACCGTTTGCAGCTGCAGCTGCAGCTGGCTGCTGCTGCAGCTGCAGCAGGAGGAGCAGCAGGAGACAAGGGTAATTTGTTTTTCTTTAATTTTTTCTTTGCTGCAGGTAGTTGACAGAGAAGGACATTCACCAGAATTGTTAATAAACTCATGGACAAAATTATATGAAATTCTTGCACAAACCCCAGTCATAAGACCTAGACTGCAGCACTTGCTGCAGCAGCAGCAGCAACAGCAGCAGCAGCAGCAGAAGCAGAAGCAGCCTAAAGTTTTTAAGAGCATTCATCTATGTGAATGTCCGGGAGGATTCATCGCCGCAACAAATCACTTCATTAAAACAGAAGCTCGTGGGTTGCTGCTGCTGCCGCTGTTGCTGCTGCTGCTGCTTGTGGTGGTGCTGCTGCTTACATTGCTGCTTGTGTTATTGCCTACGTTGCTGCAACTGCTGCTGCTGCTGCTGCTGTTTGTGTTGCTACAGCTGCATCTGTTACTGCCACTGCCTGCTGCTGCCGCAGCTCTAAGAGTCATGTGCTTCTACCCTCCCATTTGTTCTTACAGCTTCTAGCCTGCCCAATTTGTTGGTTGCTGTTTGGGGCTGCATGCATGCACGCATGCATGCGTGCATGCATGCATGCAAGCACTAATGCATGCATGCGCGTATGCATGCATGTCTATTCTCAGGGTCTGTATTTTTCTCATGGCGAGCTGCATCGTTAAACCCTTATTTTGAAGGGTGTAATCCATTAAAGGTATTAGATGATGATGAGGTGTACAGACACTCGGAGAGAAGATGGATAAGCAGCCCTGATGGTAGCGGCAACATATGCAGCAAAGAAAGCATTGAATACCTATGGAAACAAATCACTAGACCACTGCAGCACGGGGTTCCCCCCTTTGGCTTGGTACGTAGCTTGTAGCCAAAAGAGGTCTAGAGGCGAGGGTTTAGGGTTTAGGGTTTGTGGGTAGCAAGGTCAGCGGGCAGGCCTACGCCAGGCGAATCCGCCGTGGGATTCCCCGAAAACGTCTGAGAGGGGAGAGTTTAGGGTTTAGGGTTTAGGGTTTAGGGTTTGTGTGTTCAGGCGGATTTTGTGACAGCAGATGGTTCCTTTGATGTGCAGCACGATCCAGGGAGGCAGGAGGAGTTGGTTGCTCCTCTGGTGTATGCGGAGCTCGTGGCTATATTAGGTTTGCTGCAGCTGCAGGGGTCTGCAGTTATTAAGGTTTATTCTCTTCATTCCCATCACTCTGTCTCTCTTCTTGCTATTCTTAGCATGTGCTTCTCAAAGGTAAACCTCCTGCTGCTGCTGCTGTTGCTGCTGCTGCTGCTGCTGCTGGGTTGTTGCTGCTGCCTTCGGTGATTTCCTGCTGGTGTGGTGTGTGGTGTATCCCTGCTGCACCTGCTACTGTACCTGCTGCTACAGCTGCTGCTGCTGTTGTGCATGCACGTGTGTGGGGCTGTTGCAGGTAGCCGTTGTAAAGCCTGTAATGAGTAGATCAGGCAACAGCGAACTGTACGTATTAGGTCTAGGGTTTCGTGGGATCCGATCCCCGCTGCTGCGGGCTCTCTCTAATGCTGTAGACAACTTTTCTGCAGATAAGGCAATCATACCTAAGGAATGGATATCCGAAGTGAGTTGCTGCTGCTGCTGCTGCTGCTGCCTAGTGTCTCCTTGTTAAAGTGTCTCCCTATCCCCGAGATATCTCCTCTTCTAACTGTATGCTTCCCTAGTTGTCTCGCGTAATAGATATTTCCGAGGGTTTAGGGTTTAGGGTTTGGGGTTTGGACTATGTCTGATGCTGCTGCTGCTGCAGGAATTCTTGGCTGAATGCCGGCAATGCGCTGAATACTTCACGGAGCAGCAAGCGGAGCACATTGAGCAGTCTCTTGAGTGCGTTGCCCCTTCTCTGCCAGCCCCATTTGTTGCATGTATGTATAAATGCATGCAGCCATTCATGCATGCATGGATGGTTATATGCGGGTTTGGGGCTGCATGCATGCAGGCGCTTCAAAGCAATGAGTTCTCATGATCTGTGGCAACTGTCTTTGTTAAAAGAACAAGTAGCTGAAGACTTCATTACCTCTAATGGACTCAGGTGCCTGTCCAGCCCCTAAAACCCTAAACCCTAAACCCTAAACCATAAACCCTAGGAGACACCGAATACTTGAAGCCGTCATGAGCACTTGTCCAGTGCAACAACACAGTACTCCGGAATCTCCCGTGTTTCCCCTTCCAACCCCGCCCACAAGGGTTTAGGGTTGTAGGATTTAGGGTTTAGGGTTTAGGGTTTAGGGTTTGCTGTGTTGTGCAGACCCATTCGATTTGAGGATCGCCTCATACCTGACAAGGAGTTCGTGAGGGTTTGGGAGGCTCATGGATTCACCAACTCCACACGAGGAGGCAGCAGGTACGCGCTGCTGCTGCTGCTGCTGCTGTTGCTGTTGCTGTTGCTGCTGTTGCTGTTGCTGCTGCTGCTGCTACTAATGTGCTACTGTATATGTATTATGTAAAATCTGTAAAATCTGCATGCTGCTGCAACAGGTGCTGCAGCTGCTGCAACCCTTGCACCCCCCCACAGCAGATAACTGCTGCATCTGCTGCTGCATCTGCTGCTGCATCTGCTGCTGCTACTGCTGCTGCTGCTGTACAGGGAGCGAGTGCAGGGTGTATTAGACGACAGGGTTCGTTTCCACGAGGTGTACACGGAGCTGCAGCAGCGGCGCATGCAGTCATGGCAGCAGCACGGGGGCTGCAGCAGACCTTTGTGTCTCCTTACACCTCAAGCAGGGATAGAGGCGCTGCTGCAGTGTACGTACACCCCATTTGAGGAAGTTAAGACTATCGGTAAGGAAGAAGCAAACATGCAGATCGTGCTGCTGCTGCTGGTGCTGCTTCTGCTACTGCAGGTGCTCGTGCTGGCTGCTGCTGCTCCTACCCCTGCTGTTGCTGCTGCTGCTGCTTGCATATTTCATGCTGTTGCTGCTGCTGTTGCTGCTGCTGCGGCGCGCTTGTCAACGCAGGGTTCAGCAAGAAGAAAAGGAAAAGAGGTCGGGCAAGCCCTCGCGTGTTTAGGGTTTAGGGTTTAGGGTTTAGTGGAGGGAGTCGTACTGGCGAGGGAAAGCTAAGGACTCGCTATCAAGGTTTACAATAGGGGGATTAACACAAAGCTAGCTTCTAGGCTTTAGGGTTTAGGGTTTAGGGTTTGAGTCTCTGTGGAGCAGGCCAGAGCGGCAGCGATGGGCAGGCGCATACGAAGACGTTGGTTGCAGATTTCCTATCGCTGGATGGTGAGGGTGTAGGGTTTAGGGTTTAGGGTTTGTTCATAGATTTAAGCTTGAAGTTTCCGTCTCCTCTGTGTCTCTCCAGGGGTTGTCCAAAGATGAGGGTTTAGGGTTTAGGGTTTAGGGTTTGCTTTATCTGCGCAGGGGACGACGAGGACGGCGATGCGCCAGTGAGTCTAATATCCGCTTGTCTCCCTGTGTCGCCTTCCTTGCTGCTGCATGTTTGCTGCGCAGCAGCAGCAGCAGCAGGTTCTGTTGCTGGTGCTTCTGCTGCAGCGGGATCGGCACGTGGAGTGTGTGCGCTGTGGGGTTGCTGTTTGTGGTGTCTGCTGTCTCTGCTGCTGCTGCTGCTGCTTTTTCTTCTTTGCTGCTGCTTATTGCATGCAGCGGAGGAGACAAATGTTTGCTGCTACTGCTGCGGTGTCTCCTTTTAGGCACAAGGAGGAGAAGCTACGTGGCTGTGCCTCTACCCGGAGGACCCTCGAAGGCGGCAGCAGCAGCAGCAACAGCAGCAGCAGCAGAAGGGGGCCCCTGACGTTGCATCGTTCTTTAGTGCCTTTGCTGCTCGTGCATCGCAAGGGTGGGGAGAAGACAACAATAACAGCAACCAGCAGCAGCAGCAGCAAGAGAGATATATTCCTCTTGTTCCTTCTGCTGCTGCTGTTGCATGGAGGGAAGAAGCCCTGCATGGATTAAAGAAAGGAGAATATAATGCGCGCCCTTCTTGTTGGATATCTCCCCTACGCCCTCTAAGTACTAAACCCTAAACCCTAAACCCTAGAAACATTATAAACCCTAAACCCTCAATCTTATCCACCACCGCTGCTCTGAATATCCTTTTGCTGCCGCTTCTTCCTTCTTTTATTCCTTTTATTATTTTTTTCTTTTTATTTATTATTTTTTTCTTTTTATTTATTCTTTTTCTTTTTATTTATTTTTTCTTTTTTTTTTTAATTTAGTTCCTTATAAAGTACAGATAAGTAGATTTGCTGACGATCGTCTTATGACTGCTGTTGGCGAACTCCGTCTACGTATACCTTTCCTCCTTCCTTGTGAGTCTCCTGCTGCTGCTGCTGCTGCTGCCGGTGGTGCTGTTGCTGCTGCTGACTCTGATCCTGCTCCTGCTGCTGCGGTTGATCCAGATCCTGCTGCTGTGCCTGATGCTGCTGCTGCTGCTTCTGTGCTGCAGTCTCTACAGCAGACTATCTGCTGCTGGAGGGTCGTGCTGCTGCTGCTGAGGGAAAGCTAAGAGGTAATCAGCTACCACCAAGCAGCAGCATCGATTTGCTGCTGGCGCTGAAGCAGCTGCAGCACCCGTCTGCTGCTGCTGCTGCTCCTGCTGCTGGCGGTGGTAGTTCTTCCAGGTCTTCTTTCACAAGGGATCCTTCAGGTGGTGGAGCAGGAAGCAGCAACGGCACTGCAGCAGCAGCAGCAGCAGCAGCACCAGAGGAGACACCAGAGTACTGGAGGAGACAGTATCCTGTATGTGTAGAGATTAGCTGCAGCAGCAACCCCATGTCTCTTCCTCTGCAGCTGATGATGAGACGCTTTGGCTGCAGCTGCTTCGTTCTCTTAAACCCTCCACTGCAGCAGCAGCAGCAGCAGCAGCAGCAGCGGGTGACGAAAGGAGAAATAAATGCAGCACTACCTAAGGGAGAACCTCTCCTGGGGATTGAGGAGACAGATATCCTTAAGGCATTTAAAAATGGGGAGACAGCAGAATACTTAAAAAATGTACGAATCTAGGGTTTAGGGTTTAGGGTTTAGGGTTTAGGGTTTGCACTGCGATAGTCTTTATCTATGGATGGCTCTAATAATAAGACAGAAGCTGGTTATTAAGGCTCCTTAGGGTTTCGTGTCTAGGGTTTAGGGGTTTTGGATCTGCCACCAAGGGTTTAGGGTTTGGGGTTTAGGGTTTAGGGTTTAGGGTTTGTGGGGTGTTATGTGTGTGCAGCAACTGCAGCAGCGTGTGCTGCCGTTGCTGCCTGATGGTGGTGTCCCCTTAGTGTCTATAGATATAACAGGTCTACAGGAATGGAGACAGGAGGAA